GATTTAAAACACTGCCATATCTATTAAAATTAATAATTAAATAAAATAAAAAATTAAAAATATTCTAGTCAGCTGTTTATAATATAATTATTTTTAGTATAAAATTAAATAATTAATATCTAATACAGTTAATTATATCTAGTATCTAGTAAAAAATTTCAAGAATATCTTTTTCTATTTTTAAAATTATTATATAAAATATTCTATTTATCCTGGATCTTTTAAATATTTTTTATAATAATTAATAACTACAGAGACTAATAAATTTATATTAAACTATAAAAAAAATAATTTACCTCTAGCTAAGAGCAGCTAGACCTAAATAAAAAAATAATATAATAGTAAGTAATATCTCAGAATTATATAACTTCTATTTTATTTGCTTTATTTACCTATCTTATATAATTTATTTATCTTTATATAATTATATATTCTTTCTGAGCTTCTTCCTTTCTTTTCTCATGCTAGAAATTCTTGTTAGATAACACTAAATTTGACTATTTGATCAGCTTCCACAAAGATTATATAATAATTTTTCTGCTGTGTATAAATAAATTAGTAAATTAAATTTATTAAAAAGAAAGATTAGATTATATAAAATATTATAAGTTTTAAAGATATATAATTAGAAATTAGTTAGTCTTAAAGTAATAATTATTAAATACTAGAAAATATAATAGCTATAGAATATTTAAATATATATATTATTAAAAAGCACTACTTGGCTAGTTAAAATAAGTATAATAATAAATATAATCTTTATATAAATATAGATTAATTATTAAAGAGATAAAGATAAATTCATAATAAAAAAAAAAGATAATATTAATAATTAAATTTATAATAAAAATCTTATATAAAACCAGGCTATAATTATATAATATTAAAAAATAATAGATAAGATAATAATTTTCTAATTAAGTTTTAATAATATTTAGATCTTCAGATATTTTAGAAAAAGAAATTAAAATTAATAAATAAACTGAATTACTTTTTATAAAGCTATACTAAAGCTGGTAATATTAGAAGATAAAAAAATTCTTTAAATATATTCTAGAAAATAATAATTAATCTTTTTTTAATTAAAATAAAATATATTATATAGACAGCCCAGAATAATATTAAAAACTAGAATAATTTATTTAATTAATAAAAATATAAACTGTATCTTTTTAATATTAAAATATTTTTATTATTTAAAAATAATTATCTGATGATTATCCTCAGCTTAATAATATTAATATTAAAAATAATACTAGCTATAAGAGATTATATTATATTTTAAATTAATTTTTTTTTTTTAAAGATAGTAATAAATCTGATATTCTATATTAATATTATAATTAAATATATTATTATTTTTAGCTTGCTGTGGCATATCTCTAGTAAGTATTATAATAAATATAGTAATAATTATTTATTTTTTATAGAGAATACTGTAAAAGTCTTTTATAATAATCTTAAAATTAATACTGATATTAGTTAGAATATCTTAAAATAAGATATTATAGAGGCTTAATATTATAATAAAAAAATTAATTAAATATTTTTATTTTTGATAAAACAGGCTAGCTAGTATTAAATAAATTTTTTTTAAAGCTTTAAATATATTATAATAAGCTTTAAAATTATTAATAAAAAGAAAAAAAAGAAAAGACTTTACTTATAATTAATAAAATAATTATATAAAATAATTATATTTAAATATTTTAAGCTTAAGTTTTATTTAGAATAAATATATAAAGATATATAATTATACCCATCCAGTATAAAAAATTAGGATATAATAAATAAAGATAATATTATTAAATAATATAATTAAAGAATCTGTATAAATAAGCTGGAAACTAATATAATTATTAATTAATATTAAAAAGATTTTAAGTACTGTATTTTCTATTAATTAATATCTATTATTAATATAAGAATCTGTGAGTTTAAAAAAATATTTATATTTATTTTAAATCTTAGTAAACTGATATGGTTCAAGAACAGGCTAGATAATATAAATAATTTAATTATATATTTATAAATAAGATTAGATATTTTTATTAATAAATATTATTTTATTATATTAAAATAATATATTGAAGTACTGTTATAATTAAAAAATAAATTAAATAAAATTATTTAAAAAAAAGATATCTCTAGAATCCAGATAGGAGGTATACTGGTTGAATATAATAATAAAAAATAAGTTTTATATATAATAATATTATAATTTAACAGGATAGTCAGAATATTCTATTATTTTAAAATATAGTTTAAATAATTTTAAATTAAATAATAAAATAAAAAAGAAAAAATACAGCAGGCTATAAATATATTATATAAATATTTTTTATTTTAAGAAATTCTTTATAATTAATAAGATTAAATTTTAGATTTTAAAATTAATTAAAACAGAATATATCTTTATTAATAATATAAATAAAAGATCTTATATATATTTCTTTAAAGTGTGATGGCGAGTGACATCTCAGGATTATATAACTTCTATTTTATTTATTTTATTTACCTGTCTTGCATGGCTTACTTATTTTTATATAATTATATATTCTCTCTGAGCTTCTTTCTTTCTTTTCTTATACTAGAAATTCTTATTAAATAATACTAAATTTAATTATTTAATCAGCTTTTATATAATTTTTAGTATTATTCTATCTTTTATTCTTTAAATTAATATTATATATTATTAATTATCTAGCTCAGTAGCTAGTATTATCTTTTATATATATTTAATAATACTAAACACAGCTAAGATAAAATAATTTAACTAAGATCTAAACTAGAATAATTAATAAAAATATTTATAATAACTAGAGAAAACTATACTAAATCAGTATTAAATACTGTAAATTCTTAATAATATCTAATAATTTTACTAGAAAAAAAATTTAATAAAAAAAAAATATTATTTATAACCAGTTCCATGAACTGTATATAAAGAATTCTAATAAAATCTTTAATATAATTTTTTATATTATAAAAAAAATAAAAATAAAGATATATAAGATTATCTACCAGTAGAATAAGCTTAATAATAACTATAATAAAATAATATATAAATATAATTTATATATTATCCAGCTTTTCTAGCTTAATAATCAGAATAATTAAATAGTTAAAATTTCTAAATTTAAGAAATTAATAAAGATCTTTAATTTATTTTTATTCAGTAATAATAAGACTATCAGCTTTAAAAACTAATTTCTTATAATATAATAAAAGCTGGAAACTAATACAGACTATTTAAATATAATTATTATCTAATAAATTTACATAACTAACTATTATAAAAATAATATTAAAAAATATCTAGTTTTCTAACTTTATTTTAATACTCTAAATTTTTATATAAATATAACTGACATGCTTAAACATCTAAAAATTATTTATATTAATTTAAATAAATCTTATAATATATACTGATAGTATCAGGAGCTTAAAATAATAATTAATAATAAATTTTATAATTTTATATTTATATTCTACTATCTTACTGTAGAGACAGATATTATTAAAATTTATTAAAAAAAAAATTTTTATTAGTATCTTTTATCTAAATTATAGAAGCTAATAATATTCTATTTTAATAATAATAATATAATATTTAAATAATATATTAAAGAATATGCCTGATTATCAGACTTAATTAATAATATAATAAAATATTATAATAAAATAAATATTTTAAATTATTAGTTATCTATATTAATTACTATTATTATTATAATTATAATCTTTTCTATTCTAATTAAAATTTTTTATAATACCAGCTGTACTACCAGTATAAAGCCAGAAAAATATATTTATATAATAATTAAAAAATATTACTTTATTTATTAAAAATAGGAATACTTAGCCTGGAACTGTCTGAAGAAAAAAATAAATTAAATTAAATTATTAAAAATAATAAAAAATAATAATTTAATAAAAAATAATATTTAAGAGAAGTCTCCTTTCTAAATAAAATAAATATTAATATTAATTTATTAGATTTATAAGATCTGCTAGGCTAAGAGAATAAAAATTTTATTATTAAAATTCTAATATTAAATAATAAATTAATAATATTTATATATACTTTTATTAATACCAGAGCTAATATCTATATTTATATAAATATTATTTTTATTATTTAAATAATTTACTAATTCTAAATTAATATTATTTTTCTTAAGATTAATTATATTATTATAGATTTTAATAATAAGATTACAGTATTTTTAATTTATATTATTTAACTTATATTTATAATTAACAGATACCAGTTCTATAATATATTATTTTTAATATTTAAATTAGACTGCCATGATATTATCCTGAAATAAATATAATTTATAAAATAAGAAATCTTATTAAATTACTAGTAAGATAAGCTAATATAATTTAATTATCTTTCTTTATAAAATAAAATCAAGACTAGATTATTATAATAAATTTTTTAAAATATTCTATTACAATATCTAATTAATTAGAGTTATTAATAAAATATTATCTAATAAAATTATAATTTTTAGAGAATAATTAATATTCTATTATAGATATCTTTCTTTAAAATAAAATTTAAAATATTTTATACCTATCAGAATACTCCATAGAAAGTCTTAATTAAAATATACTAAAATCTAGTAGATTAAAATTTTTAATATTAAATTTTTAGAGCTTCCTGGAGCCCCCAGAAAAAAAATATTTTTAAAAAAATTAAAATAATTTTTATTAAAACTGTTATCTTCTATAAATATTTTTAAAATTCTGAATTAAAAATATTTATTATATTTCTAAGTATAATTAAGAAGGCTATTATAAAAAAAATAAATTTTAATAATAAAATATTTAAACTAATTAAAAAAAAGAAAATAAAATAGATTCTTCTTAAATATTATTATAACTTAATAAATATCTTTTTTAAAAAAAAATTAAATATTTTATTTATTTTTTAATTCTATAACTATCACATCTAACTAGAAGAAAATAATTTATTAAAAATAATTTCTTTTTATAAGATAATTCTAGAAAAACTTAAAGCTGCTTATAATTATATTATTAAAAATTTAAAAAAAAAATTTATTATATTTAATACAGTTCTATTTATCTCTTTTATTCTAATAATAAAGAAACCCGGAAGAGAACTATACTTATATATTAATTATTAAAAATTTAATATTTTAATTTATAAAAATCTTTATTTTATTTTTTTAATTAATAAGATGATGGACCGTCTCCAGAATATAAAAATATTTATAAAATTTAATATTTATTAAGATTTTTATTATATTTATATAAACTCTAAATCTAAAGATTTAATTATTTTCTGAATCTGCTATAAAATCTTTAAATATTAAATATTATTATTTAAATTTATAAATAAACCAGTAATCTTCCAGTATTTTATTAATAAGATTCTTATAGATTTCCTGGATAAGTTTATTATAATATATATAAATAATATATTAATTTTTAATAAAAATAAGATAAAACATAAATTTTATATCTATTAAATTTTTAAATATCTTTAAATAACCAAACTTCAAACAGTAATCTATAAATATAAATTCTATATAATAAAAACTAGATTTCTAGAATTTATTATTACTACTATTAGTATTCAGGTTGATTCTATAAAAACTACTATAATTATAGAATAATAATATCTAACTACTATTAAAAAAATCTAATTATTTCTTAGATTCTATAATTTCTACTAGTATTTTATAAGAAATTACAGCTAAATTACTAAGTTTATAAATTAATTTACTTAAAAAAATATTCTATTTATTTAGGACCAGTTTTATAAAACAGTTTTCTAGATTTTAAAATAAATCTTAATATTAACTTCTATATTAATTTATTATAATCTATCTAAATTTATATATATTAAAACTAATATAATTAATAAAATAATTACAGAAATTCTTTACCAGCAGATTAAAAATATATAATATCTTATAATTTATTACTTAAAAACTATATTTTTATCTAAATATAACTATAATATTTATAATAAAAAAATACTGATTATTATATATATTCTTATAAAATAAAGAGCAGAACTGAAGAGTTTATAATAATTAAAAAAATTTATAATTTTTATAAATTATCAAGTTTTAAAATATTTTATAATTATTAAAAAATTTAATATCCAGCAGGCCTGCTGGACAAAAATATTATTTTAATATTATTTTATTATTAAATATTAATTAAAAAAAAATAATATATTAACTAATTATTTTATACAGAAGAAGACTAACTTAGAAATAATTAATAATTATTATTATTAAATATTACTAAAGTCCAAGTTTCTAAAATCTAATATAATTTTTAATCCAGTACTAGTAGCTCCCGTAAAATAAAATTTTTATATTATAAATTATATTTTAAAAATAAACTATATTTATTTTTTTTTAAAAAATCTCTGAAAATAAGCCTACTAATAAAAGACTAATTATTTTTTATAAAATAAATTATTTCTATATTAAAATAAACTAATAATTTTTAATAAAGATAATTTATAAATCTAATTATTAAATAAAATTTATTAATAACTATTACTAGCTTATCCTAGGTAAATAAAGATAATAATATTAATTAAATAATAATATTTCTGGAGTACTTGGAACAGAAATATTTAATATTATATAAATAATTATTTAATTTATAAAAAAAAAAATATATATTAAGATTTATTATTTAAATTATTCTAATCTCTTCTAATTCCTGATTAATTATAATAATATATATTTATAAACTTTTACTTTTTCCTGAAAGATTATTACAGATTTAATATTATTTTTATAATAGTAGATTATCTTAATAAATATATAATATTTATTTTTTATATAAAACAGACTTCTATATAAAATATAATTTATTTATTTATTAACTAAGTTTATATCTAGATAGAATCTTCTAATATTATTATCTCTAATTAAAAAGATTAATTTATAACTAATTTTTAAAATAAATTATATTAAATTCTGCAGATTAAATTAAAATTTTTAATAATATATTATCTGCAGACTGACAGGTAAATAAAAATTATTAATTAATATATAATTTAATAATTTATTTTATTTATTAATTATTTCTAGGATAACTGGTCAGAATTATTATTATTTATTAATTTTATTATTATAATTCTACTCTATAAATCTACCAGATTATTTTTATTTATAATTAAAAAAAAATATAAATTCTGAATATTATTTAACTAGATTTCTTTAATAAATCTATTATTTTATATTATTATTTAAAATCAAGCCCATGAATTTACTTACTATATAAAATAAATCTAGATTTTTATATAAAATAAAATCTAGAAAATATAAAATTAATAAATATAATAAATTAACTAGTCCCGCTGTTCTATTAATTTTAATATTAATAATAAAATTTTTATTAATATTTATAACTAGAGATAGAGCTAGTTCTTATAAAAATTATTAAAAAATTAATATAATCCTGTATTTATTATTAATAAAATTAATAATATTTATAAAATTTATTTTTTTAAAAATATATATATATATCTTGTCTTTTATCCTGAGAAGCTTTATTTATATAATATATTTAATTTATTATTAGAACAGATCCAAGACACTGCTGTATTTATTAAAATTAATAATTAAATAAAATAAAAAATTAAAAATATTTTAATTAATTATTTATAATATAGTTATCTTTAATATAAAGTTAAATAACTAGTATTTAATATAGTTAATTATATCTGATATTTAATAGGAAATTTCAAGAATATTTTCTTCTATTTCTAAAATTATTATATAAAATATTTTATTTATTTTAGACTCTCTAAGTATCTCCTATAATAATTAACAGCTGTAAAGACTAATAAATTTATACTAGATTATAAAGAAAATAATTTATTTTTAGTTAAAAGCAGCTAGATCTAAATAAAAAAGTAATATAATAGCAAGTAATATCTCAGAATTATATAATTTTTATTTTATTTATTTTATTTACCTGCCTCACATAGCTTATTTATCTTTATATAATTATATATTCTCTCTAAGCTTCTTCCTTTCTTTCCTCATGCTAGAAATTCTCATTAGATAGCACCAAATTTGACTATTTGATTGGCTTCCACATAAAGTATCTAGTTTTCTAGAAATAGACTTGAGTTTTTTAAGTAATATAACTAAAATTAATATTTTATATAATATTATATAATTATTCCGGGAGATTAGAGTAATAAAAATTTATAATCTAAATATAATAATAAATTTAGAGAGCTGGTCTTAAGAATAATTAATATTAAATTTAAAATATTTTATAAAAGACTTCTACTGGTTATTTTTATTTTTATAAGAAGAAATTTTCTGAGAAAATATAATTAAAAAACTCTCTGGATTATTAAAAAAAAATATTTTTATAAATTATATTAAAAAAAATATATTATTTTTAATAAAATTAGTATTATTATTTATACTAGTATTATTATCAGTATTATTATTAAAACTAATAATACTGTTAATATTTATATTAATATTACTATTAATATTACTACTAGAACCAGTATTGCTGTTAATATTTATATTAATATTATTATTATTATTATTATTAATATTTATCTTTGTATTATTATCTGAATTAATATTAATAATATATTTAATATAAATATCAGAATTAATATAGAAATTATTTATATCAGGATTATTAGCTGCTGCTGGTTTAGTTATTATTAAAATTAATATTAATATATTTTAGTTAAGCAGGCTCTGTTTATATAAAAATATTATTTAGATATTTAATAAAAAAAAGATTTATATTATATTCTAATTTCTGGTAATCAATTTTTTGAGAATAAGATATAATAAATATTATTAATTAATATAGATTAGTTAAATAAAGTAAAATGTAATTTAAGCTAAATAATAAAAAATAAAAAAAAATAAAAATTAATTTATAAAAAAAATAATTAAAAATAGAAGTTCTGGGTGGCCTTTATAAATCTTATAAATTATAATAAAAACTTAATAATATTTAAAGTTATATTATTGATAAATAATATTTTCTAGAATTTAAATATATTTCTGTTATCAGAGTTTTATATATATAATTATTATAATAAACCAAAGATATTAATATTAAAGATATTAAATATAGAAAGATAAATATTATATATATTAGTAATTTATAAATTAATATTATTATAAGAATTATTAAGAGTTTATTATATTTATATTTATTTAAGATAGATATATTATGGATTATATAAATAAAAGAATAGTAAGTAGAATACTACTAAATAATATTACTAGTAATATTATAATAAGTAATAGATATATATCTGAGATTATAATATTATTATTAATAAGTATTATATACTTAAGTATTAATAATATTATTATTTATTACTGTAATTAAAATATTTTAATTTTTATTATTAGTACTTACTAGTCTTTTAATATTAAGAGAATTCTGTAAAAGCCTTTTATAAGATCTTATATATTTAGTAATAAAAATTAGTATTATAATTATTATAATATAACAAGCAAAATTAATTATTAATTATTAAATTTATAGTAATTATGCAGCTTCTTATTATTTATTTAATAATATATATAACTTATACTACTTACAGCTTACTATTAATTATTTTTATTCTATTATTTTTATTTATTATTTTTAATTTTTTTATAGATAATTATTTGAATAGCTTTATCTTAGTATTATTATTATAATTATATTCTTATATTATTTACTATGGTCTGTTATAGGACCTGTAATAAAATTTATAATAAAATCTATTTATAATTATATAAAAATTATTATTTTTTTTTTTTTTTTTTTATTATTTTATTTTTTTTTATCAAGACTCTTATTACTATATTTCTATTAAATCTAATTTTTATATTATTATCTTAAATTATCTTCTGTGCTGCTGCTATACCTATTATTATAATTATTATTATTATTATAATTATTTTTATTTTTGCTAATTTATTTTTTTATAAAAAAAAGCCTGCTCTCTTTACTACAGAAAATTTTTTTAAATTTCTGGATTTCTTAGCTAAAGTTCTAGAGAAAGTTATTATAATTCTGGAAGTTATTAAGAAAATTACTAATATTATACTAGAAATTAAGAAGATATATAATAAGATAAAAAAGATAAAAAAGATAATTTAAGATTAATAAA